TGCACTGCCAGCAATGAGTTGTTGAAGAGGTGCAGGGTTGGTTTAAAAAAAAAAAAAAAGACACCCTTACATACTTCTCTCCAGAAAGTGCGTCTGTGAATTCCACCAGAGGGCAAAGCGACGTATTGATTGCCTCCAGTACATCAACGTCCTGCCACGTGAGGGAGAGATGTCTGGTTTTTCGGTCGCTGGAAAGGACCGGGTATTATTGCCCGGTCGTATTGCACTTTGTGGTTGTATTTCAGATGATTCAAGAGATTGGTTGTGTTAGCGTGTGGTGCCAACACAACCTGGTAACAAATCCTGCACTGTACTTTGTTTTGCTCCACGTCGGACTCCTGAAAGCCAAAGTACTTCCAAATAGTTGAAATAGTTGTACCCTTCTTTTTAACGAGTTGCTGCTCTTGTTCTGACCTCTTCGCTCACGCTGAACACTCGCAACACATGTCACTCCCACGTGGCCGAGTGGGCTTTTAGGGAGGGGCGAAAGCGCACCCAGCTAAATAATCGTATTTTGTCAATTATGCTGTTTTCATAATCGTCGCAAGCCATAATCGCGATTAAAAATACGATTAATTGCACAGCCCTACTTTTAATACACAAAGGTAACTCAAAGTCCTTCACTTCACAAACCAAACACATAGACAAGTACAAAATTACAATTAAATACAATTCAGTTAAAAGCCAAATTGAAAAAGGTGGGTCTTGAGTTTGCTCTTAAGGTATTCTTAAGAACTATTAATGTTTGTTGTTTGCTGCCAACACACAAGTTATTTATATTTCCCTAAATGTGAGCTAAATTCTGAAATCTGCACTTTCCCCTTTTTCCAGATACTCCCCGCTCCATAACATCCGCATCCCAGAAGGCAACGGGGTCCAGTACCCCTCAGTGCTCCTGCTGACCGGGGACCACGACGACCGGGTGGTGCCTCTGCACTCCCTGAAGTACATCGCCACCCTGCAGCACATCGTGGGGCGCAGCAGCAAGCAGACCAACCCTCTGTTCATCCTCGTGGACACGAAGTCTGGCCACGGCGCCGGGAAGCCCACCAGCAAGGTCATCCAGGAGGTGGCCGACACCTACGCCTTCATCGCCCGCTGTCTCAACATCTCCTGGGTCAAATAACTGCCCCTCCCGTTACACCGTGTCCTTTTGTTTTGTTTCTTCCGTTATTTACTACATCTTTGGGATACTGTTCACATCGGCTGTTTACACCTGGCCGACATTACTATACCTTTTTGTTCTTTATCCATCTTCCTCTCTCCCCTTCCTCTTAGAGTGAGCCTGTTATAGACTCACAGGACTCATCAACTATAAACCAACATTCAGCACTCACAGCTAATGTACCCTCTCCTGTAGGCCATTTGTGTAGTCCCAACGAGAGAAAGAATGACTACATTATCAGGTTTGTAAAGGGAAGGGGGTACTTTAACGATTACAGTTATCAGCCAATCAGCAGTTACAGTCATGAGGTGGAAGTGGGGCAAAAAAGTGTATTAGGTGATCATTTCAGCATCCTCTGAGCACTTCAATGTGATGCATATTATTTATTTTACATGTGTGCCTCCAGCATGTACAAGTATAAAGAAAATGCTGACACTGCAGTGAGAAACTTGAGTGAGTGTGTGTGTGTGTGTGTGTGTGTGTTTAAATGTCAGTCCCCCATTTTGTTCAGACTGATCATTTCTACCTCTTGACATGTGCTGATTGTTTGCCTTTAAAGGGAACAAAAGACAATGCCACAACTACAATAAACAACTTTTTAAACCTTGAGTTACCTTGCCAATTTTATTTTGTAAAATTATTATTTAAAGAGCTCAATTACAAATTGACACGTCAGTCACTGAGGAGAAAAAATATGGATTATAATAACACATTTAAAATGGCTGTTGCATACATGACTAACTGCATATAAAATACCCAACAAAAATCATATATGTGACTGTAAAACAGATGATTAAAAAAACAGATGATTAATTATGAATGATATAGTAATCAATTAGATTTGTCATGATTCAGATTTTTTTCTGATCATGTTTCCTGACTGACTGAGCGCTAAAATAAACAGACAGTCATGAACGGATTTTTTTTTTAAATCAACTTTATTTACATTTCTTACTGCAATGAATTAAATCCAAAGCATTTTAATGTAACATGTCCGGGTTTACTGCGGGCAATGGGAAGTAAGGGCGAAAGCAGCTGTAGGGTTTGGGTCTTCCACCAGGGGGCAGTCACCCTGGAAATGACAACACGTGCAGCAGGAGCAGAACATGAGGGTGGTCTGACAGAGGGCCCCATGTGAATTACTCAACATATATGTTCCGTGTTCAAGAACTTCTCTGATGTCCCACTTTCATGTTTATGGAGGGAAATTAAAGTGCAGTTACTTTTGAAAGACTCCATCAATTCCTCTAAAACTTTATCTTCTAAAGTCATTTCAGGATGGACATTTAATTCATCAAAAATAATAGAAGCAAAATATTTTCGACCAACTTTTTTCATAGGCTTTATATTATTCATTTATTTTTCATTTTAAAATGCATAACTTTCTGTTTGAAAACATAAATTGAACTTTTAAATTAAGTTCAAGCCTGTAACTGCAAAAGATTTACTAAAAAAGTAATAAGAAAATATTGTTATGGGCTAACCATTTATTTGTGTTTGCCATGTTATTTCCTTATGTTAAGAAATGTTCTTAAAATTCAACATTTCAATCACTCAAGGGAGAACGGGCTGTTCGGCCATGAGCTCAACAGCTGTGGAAAACCTGAGCCTAAACAGAGAATTTGGAGGACAAAAGCAAAATATCCATACATTCCTACGAATAACTCACTAATACAACAAGTATGTCATATAAATATACAAGCTTTCAATACATGAACAAAATGGACACATACCCTCCAGTAAAGTTTTATAAAAGTCCTCAAATGTTGCAGTTTATTGGGAAATCAAGGCACTGGAAATGAATTGGATGAAAAGCTTGTTACACCCAACTCCAAACATTTGGATGAAACTGGTAAGTGTTCATTTTAATAACTCATTCAAATAAATCCTTTTTAATTTGTGATTCAAGAATTAGATGAAAGTTGTCATTATAGTTTCACAATAGTCATATATTTGTAAATGTTCCAGTAAAACAAACTTTGAAACCAAGTGCAGGGCAATAGATTATCCTATATTTACATTTAAATCTAAAACCTCAGCTTCTGTGAAAAAAAGCTGAAAACTGAAGCCAGAAAAAGGGCTCACTTGCATTTCCTTTGTATCTACTGAGACCTTCTTACTTGTTGTTAAAACTATTTCCTTTAACTCTTTACTGAGACCTTCTTACTTGTTTTCTAAAACTAAACTATTTCCTTTAACTTTTCAGCTCTTCATGGATCTATTTGTTCCCCAACAGCTTTCTTACTAAACAACTTTCAAAGTAATGAATGAATAAAAGGTAAGTGGTCTAATAAATATTTAAAGAAACACAAATAACTATTATTTTATTTTATTAAATGCATTTTCAACTCGTTTTCAACTTAGCCCATGATTAGAAATTCAAAGTCTTTGCAGGTTCTGAAAAACAAATGTTATGCATGTAGATTTAACATATAATAAATAAATAAAAATGTATCCTGCCAATAAACATTCTATACCGGAAATGCAAAATTCAACAGTGTGGTAACACAAGGTGACATACCGTACATACTGGTTTGATCACTTTATTGTAAGCAAATCAAATATAAGTACAAAGGATAAACGGCAATCTCCCTTTTAATGTTAAGTTATGCAGTCTATTTAGGCGTATGTGTGCGCGTGCGTGCACGACAGAAGAATGCACCACCAGAGTGCGCGTGACAGTGAAACCCTGCAGGCCAGCATCCTGCACACTAAAAAGGCAAACCGTATTTTACATTATTTTAACCGAAACTGCTTATAAAGCAACTGTATTTATCTTACTTAAACATTTGATACTGTACAATATAACTTTAAACACATTTCAAACGTATCACGTAATATTCTTGTCAACTTGTGTGCTTAAAATCTCGTGAAACTGCTGCCTAATTTCTGATTGGCTGACACATTTGAAGACGTTCTGAAATACCCAATGAGCACACACCTGTGACCACACTGGAATATTAATCCGCCAACCGGAAACCACCGCTGAACCACCGCTGGGGAACTATATTCCTCGGCGGAAGATCAATACAAATACAAAAAATCCATCCTCCATGTCTATATTATTGCAAAAATAATAGTAATTTGACTTTCATTCGTAGAGTAGAAAATACTAAATAGCATCAACGTTGTATTTGTTTATTTGTTTAACTATATATTTATATCTTTCTCTATAGCAGCATAGGGGGAAGTCCATATGGGAACGGGCAGTTCACACATCGTTATTGAATGAACCAGAAATATGTTACCTCTCAATTTATTTAACTTTTTATTTTTTTATTTATGATTATTATTATTTTATTATTTATTTATGATTATGATTATGATTATTTTGTATTTGTATTATACGTTTGAGTAAAAAGTACATGTTTTTATTACATCAGCTAAAAATAATAGTTCTGTGAGGATTGGATTTACATTGAAATATATAATATATCTGTATCTATATCTATCTATCTATCATGGGAGGCAAAATGGTGCAGCAGATCCAATGAATGGCGCTATTTATTGTAATCTTGTCTATATTTGTTCTCTCATCGATTTCTAATCACTGACCTGGGAGCAGTTTGGACCTGCTGTTCAGTTAGTTTGTTAGAGTGAGTGAAGAGCAGACCTCAGATCAGTCGATTAGTTTTTTGTTTTTTTTAAATATATAAGTATATTATAAGATATGAGACATATATGGGATTACTCTTTTGTAAGTAATCAGGTCACATTTTTTGTTCAGGGACATTTTAAATGTTTAAATAGTTCTCAATAGTTGAATGTTGCCTGTAAACAAGATGGGTGGGGGATGTGTGGTATGGATCTTTATCAACAAGAGAGAAAGAGGTGGGGGAAGGCATGGGAAACTGATGGGGGAGGCCAAGAATGCCACATGGTTTGAAGAGCCTGGATAAAGCTCTTAGGCATGCAGAAGATTGGGTTATAATGTACCAATAATCTAACATTATCCTGGCTATTGGGGGCAAAAAACGCTTTTTAAAGAGACTTTTTGCAGCTTAACTCACTCTCTGATCACTTTTAGGATGTTTTTCTCAGAAATTAAAATGTTAAGAAGCAGCAGATTGACCAACACTGCATCTGAGCTAGGAGCAGCTTTTTGACAAATGAGGAGCTGACAATTTAGCTCAATTCCACTCATGTGGATCATTTTTCAGATTACATTTCAGATCTGAGGCACAGGCTCTGCTGGTGAGACGTTTAAAAACAAATCTGCCTGCCCTCTCACGCTGCTGCAGCTTATGTTACAGTGTCACTATAAAATATTCATCCATGGAAAATCTCTTTGATTCCAGCCGTCTTCATAGGTTTAAAGTCAGCCTAAACATGTAACTCAAACTAGAGCGTCGGCAGATTGAACTCCAGCAGGCTGAAGCTCCACTTTCCTCCACATTTGCTCCCCCAAAGGGACACCGGGGGAACCGTGTGCTCTGCCCGTGCCATCTCATCCATTTACCGAGGAAAAAAGGAGGATGTCCGCTCCCTCTCCTCCAGGTGAGTCCCTTTAAACAACTTTTATAGTAAGCTTCTTGTATTTGACTTTACATGTCCTGAAAAAGCAGTGGATGTGGTGTTTGGTTGCGGCTGAGCTCACCCCTCTGAAGCTGTAGAACCTGCTTTTCACTGACCTGAAATGACCGGCTTTCAGCAGCATGAGAAAGTGATGGATCGGCTCTTTTATCAAACCCATTCAAACAACGCTATAAATGCGCACATAATCTTTGTTTTGATTTAGGACTAATGCACATGGAAAACTAAAACGACCTTATCGGTAAAAAGTAACTAAAAACCAAACAGTAAAACAAACGTTATCGGTCAATGCCCATTTGAACTAATTCTAAGAATATTATAGGAATATTATGGCATTAGTATTGCGGTGATCTTTGGAGCAGAAGTCCATTCATAGCCTTTGTGGGATTAACAATGACACTTGAGTGGTGATATCAACCTTTAAGAAAAGGCAAATACAGTCAAAAAGTCATACTGACCATAAAGGATCCGAGCAGAAAAATTCAACCAAAAAATAAAACGTGATTTAGAGAAGTGTAAGCGGATATGTGGTGCCATTGTGCGCAGTTTTTGGCGCACCGGCTCCAGAGGCGCTTCTCCTCCAAACCTCCTCCCTCTGTCTCTGACGTCACCGGTATTTCATTCACTTCTATCTCGCTGTTTGCTGATGTCGGGGGAGACTTTTTAAGATTGAAAACTACTTTAAAATACGTGATGTCTCCCCCTTAAAACGTCGTATTGCTAATTTGTCTCGCTGTGCCCATCTACAACAGAATGGGAATCACCCTGCTGTGTGCAATAGGTGCATGGTAAAAGAAAGTCTAAAGGCTCTTAAAAATGTGTCGGATCAAACGTGTCGTGTGAAAAAATATTTAATCCGCCAACACACATATTACATTTGATATTAAATGAAGAATGTAATGGTACTTTTGTTAAATAAAGCGAGGGGATGAAGACAGGATGCTGCAGGATGTGGGTTACTTTGTGGTCCAATAAGGAGCACATGGCACATGTACGCTTTTGTTGGACTTGAGTAGCCTACATTTTTTCGTTGATTCAAAAATATTCCTTAACGAAATCTAAAGATATGTCAAATGAGGAACTTCATTTAAATACTAAAACTATTGTTTAATTGAGGTAGAGTCAGAAATCCTCCCCCATGTGATTTAAAACCAAGTGAAGTCCAATCAACCTGTATTTAGAATTGTAAATGATTAAAACAATAAAGTGAATAATCACTTGATTCATGTAAAACATTCCACATGCTCATATTCTCCAGTTCTAGGACAAATAACTCTGAGAGGAGATGGCCTGTTTCCCCAGCACTGTTTACACTTCCTTGCAAAGGTTATAAAAAAGTGAAGGATTGGTGTCTGGAATGCATGAAGTAAACGACAAAAAAAAATAACCCCTTCACTTAAAGAGAAAGGAGAAAAGGGGAGAGACAAACTCAATGAACCCTTTGAACTGCATTGACAGCAACAAGGCACATTTCCTCTGGGAGCCTTTAGGGTGAGGAGTGGGGGTTGGGTGGGGTTAGCTGGGGTTAGCTGGGGTTAGCTGGGGTGATGGAGTCCAAAGTCTGCTCAGAAAGTTGGTATTCAAACAGCTCAGGAATCTGGCTGTACTCCTCAGGTTAAAAGCTCAAAAAGATCTATTTAGATCGAAGTGATTTATTTATATGACTGCCTAAAATCTCAGTCTGATTTTAGTACCATCATTTCCCTTATTGGCTGTATAACAACTACACTTAATTCATGCTTACTGCTTTAAGATTGCTAAAAAAAAGTGACTATGGCTAGATTTAATTTATCAAAACATCGTGAGGATAAATAAAAAAATAAAAAGTTGAATATATTTAATGAGTAGTTGGTGTTCACTTCAGCAAACCATCCTCCACATTATCAAGGGGAAACAAGGTATTTTCCTTTCTCTTATTTAACTAAGTAAAACATGTGATTGTGGCTCACTGTGAAAGCTTCAGTGGATTTTTCGTCATGCCCGAAAAGACTGATATGTTTTATTAATATATTCAAATGTTATGAGTAAACCAAAGCAAAGAATACTACTTTCTTTGAATCTAAATGTAATGTCTTATTGATTCAGAATAACTCAAATACAAAACTGTACTTCATATAATTCCAAAAAGGTTCAAACAAAGGTCATGTTATTCTTAACTGATTATATATCCAGATACAGACAGTGTTTATTTAAATTCAAGTTAATATAACAGCAACATCTTTTTGGAAACGTTTCCAACATAGCTTACTTTGGGCAACTTTACTTGCATATTTCTTAAGCCAGTAATACAACAATTATCAAAATGATGTTGCCATATGCCAATCATGTTTTGCTTTTGCAGAACTTCACAAGAAAGCTGATCTGTGTCTTCATGTTCTCCTCTGGACAAGTTTGCAATGGGGGTAAAATAGCAACAAAACAAACACAACTCAATCAATCCTATCTTGCAGCAGACTAATCAAAGACTTCCAGTTGGTGTTGATAAAAGGTTTACAACTAAATAAACTGAAGTGTTTCTATCTAATCTTTCAAACAGACCAAAGCCTGTTTCTTAAAGTACTTTATATGACAGGTTTCTATCCAAACACAAACAGTTACACAAGTTAGAAAACAATCTTTCCCTGCAGCATAATGTAGTGTCTTGAGTAAGACTTTTATTTAGTGTTAATTATTAGGAAAATGAATGTAATCCAAAGGAGCTTATTCTTCACTTTTATGCAAAACTTCAAACCAAAAATGGTTATGTCTGCTTTCTACAAATACAGAAGTGGGAACAGATTTAAAGTTGAACCATCGTAAACAATACAATCTCACAACATAGACAATTAAATGGAGGGGCAAAGTAGGACGTATACAGTAGCTGGTGTTGATAAGAAGGTTAACAACTATGTTCTTCATGTTCCCCTCTGTGGGGGAAAAGTAGCTCAGACTAAATCAAAATGAAGTCAATGTTACTTTGCAGCATAAAGAGTCATCAAAGAAAGCCAAAGTGTGACTTCTAGTTGGTGTTGATAACAAGGTTAACAACAAAATAAACCGAAGAACATGTATTTCCAGCTAATCTTTGAATTGACCAAAGCATATGTTACTCATGTTCCCTTTTTGTTTTTAAATACTTTATGGCAGGTTGCTATCAAAGCTAAAAGCAAGAGGAAAAAGACTGATGGAAGTTTAAAAAAGTTAGAAAACAATGTTTTCCTGAAGCATAATGTCAGTAAAACGGTTAGGCTTTTATTTGGTGTTAGTTAGAGTAACCAAAGAAGATGATCCTTCACTTTAATGCAAACGTTCTAACACAAATGTGCTCTTTTTTAGCTGTTCTCTACAAATAAAAAAGTTTTTAAACAATCTTATCCTAAAATATAAAGACAATGAAATAGGAGGCCAAAGCACGAGTTGTAGCTGGAGTTGATAATAAGGTTATCAACTAATTAAACTAAAGAAATGAAATGTCCGGCTCATTTTTAAAACAGACATGTTACAGATGTGAATTCTTTGCAGAAATTAATATAACAAATATTTGAATTCATTTCTTAACAAATGGAAACACGGAGAAAAGAAAAAAGTAAAGTTAAAACAGGTTTATAAACCAAGGTAGCGGTTTTGATTGCGTTACGTTTATAAATCAGTAGCATGGCTTTTACTTGGTGTTGATTACAAGTCACACATCTAAGGTTAATATTAGCAGTCCATTTAAAAATATGCTAATTTAAAGCTACGTATGCTACACCTATGATTTTCTATTTTTTCAGAACTTTATATGAAATGTTGCTTGTTTGTTCCGTGCACTCTTCCACAAACCATCACACAAGAGATGAATAAAAGATTCATGTGAAGTTTAAACAAGTTTGAATAGAATCTTTTCATGCAGCATAATGTAAAATAAATAGTGGGCATTTGGCGTTATTTATTAGAAAAACAAAAATGTAAAGCAAAAAAGTTGATCCTTCACTTTTGTGCAGAACTTAGAAGGAAAAGTTCTTGTTTTTTGTGGTTCTCGAAAAATAAAAAAAGTGGGAGAAGGTCTAAAGTTTAACAGTTTTTGAGAACAATCTTATCCCACAACATATAGACAATTAAATAGGCCAAAGCACGACGTATACAGTAGCAGAGTGGATAATAAGGTTAACAACTAATTCAACTAAAGAAGTTACATTTCCAGTTCATCTTTAAAATAGACAAAAAAAATGGCTGTGTACAAATGTACGATTTCTTTGCAGAACATAATATGAAGAATCCCTCATTTGTGTTTCTTCACATGGAAGAAAATAGGGATGAAAAGTTAAAGCAAGATTTAAAAAAAAAAGTATTCTGCAGCCAACTTTGTTGAGATTGTGTTAAGTTATGAAAAACGGTGGCATTCATTTCACTTGGTGTTGATTCAAAGTCAAAATCTAATGTTAATATAAAATGGGCTAATTATTGGCTATGTAATGTGTATGAATTCCCTATTTTTTGCAAAACTTTATATACAATGTTTTGTTTGATGTACTGTTACACCAACAGTGGAAAAAAGATTCATGGGAAGTGTGAAAATAATCTTTTCATGCAGCAAAACGTGAAATAAAAAGGGGGCTTGCGAAAAACATTTAGTGGTAATTATGAGAAAAACTCAAATGTAAAGCAAAGAAGTTGGTCGCTCACTTTCATGCAACATTTAGAAGGAAAAGTTCCTGTTTGTCGTTGTTCTCCAAAAATAAAAAAGTGTAAAAGGGTCTAAAGTTTAATAACAAAATATCATCCTGCAACATAGAGACAACCAACGTTCTATATATATCTTTTAAATAGACCAAAGCATGGCGATGTTTCTAATATCTGTTTTTCTACAGAACTTAACAGGAAAATGTCTCTTTTTAAATGTATTTCTTTACAAATAGAGACTAAAAATAAGATAAAAAGGTAAACTAAATACAACTTCACTTGGTGTTTCTAAGCTAAGCTAATGTTTGCATTTTCAGTCGATATAAAAATAGGCTTATTAAATGGTATATGAGTTCCCATTTCTTTTATAAAACTTGTTGTAAAGGATTTTGTTAAATGTACGACATCCATAAAAACAGGGAGAAAAAGACTAGGAAAATGAAAAGAAGGCTATGTTAGTTTGAAATTGTTTTCCTACAGTATAAAGTAAAAAAAGAGGTGACTTGAGTGAGACTTTTATTTATTTTAGGAAAAACAAAAATGTACACCAAAGAAGTTGATCTCCCTTTTTTTTTTTTTAACCAAAAAACAACTTTTTCACAAATAAAAATGAAAAACAAGTTTGAGACAATCATATTATGCTACATTAAGACAATTAAAAATGAATCCTAAGGTATGACTTCTAGTTGGTGTTGATAATGCAAAGGAAAGTTTAAATAAGCTTCAGTAAAATAAAGGTTTAAGAAACGTTCCCATACAAACACCCTGTCTTCATCCACACAACATCAGTCTGAGATGTTTCCCCTCCAATTCACATTCAAAATATTTTTCCCAGCCGAACTGAGATGTTCACATTGAGTTAAGGTGCCTCTAAATCTCCACTAATCTCTGTTTTGGTATTTCAGTGGCTTCCTTTGACTAACAGGCACACCCAAAGCCACCCATATCTAAATGTTCCCTCAGTGAGAAGCACTACGGGGATTCCCACTGACTGGTCCTATCAGAATGGTCCTGTCACGATATGAGTGAGTGGATAACATCTGACACTGGGATCCAACCCTGTGACCCAAACAGTAATTCTATGGCCACTGCAGAGGCCTCCTCTACAAGCATCTTCAAAAACAGGCCTGACCGCGGGCTGGGATGGATGGATGGGGGTAGGGGGAAAAGCTTGGGAATTCCAGAGGGTGGGCTCTATCGCCCTGGTGGGTGGAGATGGGCTTGTTGTTGTCTCATTCCTCCAACGTGTTTTTCTTCTATCCACATACAATACATACAATACATACAATAACCCCTAGAGTAGATACGAGATAAGGAGTGAAGTTTCTCATTGGACGTAGTATTTTTCAGGCTTGGTTTTGTGCTGTGTGGCCTTGAGTAACCTGCAGCTGGTGAATACACTTATGTGTGTGTGTGTGTGTGTGTGTGTGTGTGTGTGTGTGTGTGTGTGTCCTATTGGTGGGAAGAAATATGGATGCAGTGAAGATTATTTTTTCCAAGTTTAATTTTTGTGGAAGGATTGTGAAGTTGTTTTTGTTAAGTTTACACTTTTCTATGATGTACAGTCTTTATTAATAAAAAAGTAAGCAACAGTGGAGTTGTATAAATCAAATGAACACATGGAAGCTATATGAAGATAAAAAGTATATTTTAAAGGAGTTATTAACTTCACAAGTGTTTGCTTAAGTTTTACTCATATTTACAGTTTTTTTTACGATTGCTTTGATATGAGAAATGTGCACTATAGTAAACTTTTTTTTAACATAAACTAAATCTCTTCAGAAGTTTTTTTTTGCTGTGTCTTTATGATTTTGTAATGCAAATGAGAATCAAGCACATGGCTTTCTTCACAAACTTATAAAGCATTTAATCATGACCCGTATAGAGGGTTGATTTTCTTCTGACAACTGAACACATCAGTTTTCAGGTTTGTTTTTCTGGGTTTTCCAGTCACATTCCAAAGCTGTGAGTTCAGCTCTCCTCTGGTGCCCACTATGATGCTGGGAGGTAACTGGTCGTATGTTACGGAACATGAGCTCAAAAACAACATGTGCATGCATGGAAAGCATAGAAAATTAGCATCACATTATTATTCTGTATTGTTATTTTAAGGTATTTCGGTCCTGAGTAAAGGGAACTCTCGTGTGGTTAGTTATTTCTGTAACAAAGATGTGAGTTTATTTAACGGAAACATAAATCACACATTAAAACAGGAATCATGTTTTGGTGTAAGATGTTAGGTAAAATACGACATTTGTTGGCATGTTTTATAGGAATTATGAGTTTCTAGCAAGTTTACTTTCTTTGTTAATTTTAAGCGTTCTATTTATTATAATACATGTCTAAAAATATGATTGGACATCTATGGATGCATTATATTTTTGGAAAAAGCAGTTTTTTTAGGAAGGGCACTTTTTTCCAGCTAATTTTAAATGTTAAGCCTTAACATAATTACTAATAATCTTTGCAATGTGATATTTTATGTTAGAAGTTCTTGTCTGACCAATGTTTCACCATTGATAGATTGCCTATTTGTGTTGCCTTAAAACCCCTGAGCACTTATATTAATCACATGTGTTAATATGCATATATATAATCATTAAAAAGCCCAAACACTTGCTGTTTCTTTTGCTTGTTTATTTCCCTATGTTCCATGTGTTCTCCTTATGTGTGCTTTTGTCCCGCTGCTATGACCACCCAATCAAATCCCAAAGGAATAATTCAAATGTAATTTAATCCAATCTAATCTAATCTCTGAGCATAATAGCTTTATGTAGTACACCATCATGATAGGCTACGTCTTTATCCCAAGAAAACACACTATATACAGTTCACGCCACTGTGTGTCAGAGGCTAAACAGGGTTTGTTGTTCTTATCACCACACAACTGGGGTATATTTTGCTTGTGGTTGCGAGTCCGAGTCCCCTCTTGTCTGGAATCGCAGGGCAGAAATTAGCAGCAAGAAAGCATGTAATTGACAAAGTCACGTGTTCTCACTACGGGAACGGGCACAGCTAGCTCGAGAGCGAATGAGAGCGAAGGAGAGAGAGAGGGAGAGAGAGGCAGAGGCAGAGAGAGAGAAAGAGGGAGAGCAGTGCAGAGGTGCAGAGAGTGAGGAAAGGATTAAAGCGAAGAAAGAGAGACATGACACAAATATCAAAAGGCAGAAAGCACGCCGTACCATGCGAGCTAAATTAGTGACCGATGGGATCGAGGATGTCGGATTAATGGTGACTACCGTAGCCCGTTTTCGCAGAGGAAGCTTCTCTATTGCAACTTGGGCGCAGAGGGTCCGCGGGGAAACATGGCCGAAGGTTATTCTGCAATTATTTTCTATTTTCTGCTTAGTTTTTACCTCCCCTGTCTGCTAGCTCAAGGAAGGGGGTGTCGTGGGGGGCAAGGTGCAATGTGAATGTTGTTCCAAACCTCAAAAAACCCCGACCTGAACCGCCCCTACCGGGCAGTGTATCCCACCATGTTTCGCTGCATTAAGATGTATGCATTGTTGGAGCGTATATGTGCTACTCTGCCCAGCAGTAAAGCTTGGGGAACCATGTGTACACCTGCCTTTTTGGATCCCATAGCGAGCTCCACTCCACTGTAGCAGCGGGCTGTGGATGCACGAGACAAATCCTCACAAAGTTACACGGACCGAGCACTCCTGTGCACGAGACCGAGTTCATCTGTCAGGGAGTAACAAACAACTTTCATGCACACAGCACCACGCGCCCTCCAGATCCCCTTTTTGATGCCGAAACTAGTAGTGTAGGAAATGTCTACCGGCCCTGAACTTCACATAGCCCGTGTTTGTAAGTGGAGGGGATTCCCCCCGCGCTTCTTGAAGAAGTTTACGCAACGGGGCCCATTAAACTAAACCTTTATGCGTTCAGAGAAGTAACCATCCCGTGTCCTGTGAGCCTGTAAAATGTTTTAACTTGTTTCCTGTTTGTTTCAGGAGGGCCGTGTAAAGGTGGCGGAGAAGACCCCACCAAGTCCACCGAGCAGCAGGAGGACCGGACTCGACCTCAGGTCCTGTCGGGCTCAGGCTTCTGTAAATGGTTCAACGTCCGGATGGGCTTTGGATTTATTTCAATGACCAGCAGCGATGGGAGCCCCGTCGACCCCCCTCTGGATGTTTTCGTCCACCAAGTAAGTTGACGCCAAAAAAAGAAAAGAAAGAAAGAGGAATAAACATCTGTGCTGATGTGTTGCGGATTTGGTCTTTCCTAACGTGATGAATGATTGATTAGTTTTATTTCCTTTTCCAACAATTTCCCTGTCACTTCGTACCCCTTTCTCGTTCCTCGTAGGCCCCCTTTGTATTCCTCCTCAGAGCGCCAGCTACATTGTATCATCCGGATGTTTTGCATTGCCCAACATGTTACTGTGTAATCACACGTTGTCCACGAGCGTGAATAAAAAGCACGTTAAGTTTCCTCTTTGAGCCACATGTGTCCAGGCTTTCCCCTCCCTCGCTTCCCCTGTCGTGTGGCTGTGACACGGTTAGTTTCACACTTGGACAGTCGGGAAGCATGCTTTAAATAAGTCAAACTGCACCCTCGTGCTACTCCTTTGCTGCTGTTTTGTGGATGTGTTTGAAGCATCCCTTTGGCCTGTTTTCCACCGCATGTGTACTTGTGATTTATTGTGCATGGGGTTCATTTCTGAAGCTTTGTTTTCCACTTATTCTGCAGCACACAAAGAGGCTCCTCTTCTCCCTGTGTTTAATCGCCCTATTTTACGGTCCTATAAAATGGCTTAAAAATACTAGTGGACTGATGAGGAGAGGCATTTTCACCATTTCACGTGACACCCTCCCTGAGCGGTGTCTTTATTGTGGGATGTTGTGCTGGTGGGAAGAGAGGAGGGGCACACGAGGGGTCAGATGTCAGCAGTGATGCAGTGGTGAATAAAACAGGTCCACTGATCATTCATAAAGGCATTCATTTATTTAATTATCCACCCATTCTTGTTGAACTTCAACAATGTTTAATGATATGATTTTTTAAAAGCTGTATCCAGTCTCAAAACAACAAGAGGGACCTCTGAGTGTGGCATTTGAACTTGTTATGTTGTGTACACTATAGGACAGTTTGCAGGGATGAAATGACACTTAACATGTCTCTATGATTTATGTTGTATTCTTCTATTTGTTATTTATTTCCTATGATTTGCATCTTGTGATCATTATACATAAACCATTAATCTATATGATGCTTTTCATTCAGTTATTCTGACGATAAAGTCAAAAAAAATAAAAACTGATATAAAATCATTTAAAATCTGCTGTACACTTGGTGCTTAAAGAAATCACATTTTGAGTGAATTATGTTTACTCTTACTCCATCTATCTTTATATTTATGTCATTGATTGTCATAGGCCTACACAAAATAATGCATTTTTAATATTTGTTATTATATATAAATATTATATTTGTGTGTCGGTGCAGTTTTTGATATGCGAGCCCCACTGTGAATATCTGCAAGCACGAGAGGCTAAGGGAAGTGCATATTGCAGTATCCATCTTTTGATTGATACTTACATATTGTGGCGCCATTGATTGAGCGTGCTCCATCAATCTACATACTCCCAGCTCCTATTTCCCTGCTGCCATAAAGGTTTTTTAGTAGTATATCAGGGCAGAAGGGTTTAGTCTGGGGAAGCAGTCTGAAGAGCCCAGTAGAAGTCAAATAAAGACTGCCGTTTGTAACCTATAGGACCGGGCAGGCTGGTGGTAATAGGTGTCTGTGGGAATATTTCTCAAATGCATGCAGTCTAGTGTGATTTTTTCAAACCACAGGAGGGGGAGATGATTGTAATGACTAGCTCTGCTCTACATTATGTGTGGCAAGCTGCATTTCCATGTTCAGAAAATGCCAATTGTTCCATTAAAACCTTTTTTCTTTTAACAGAATAATTATCTAGCATACAATGATATGTTTACATCAGTGCATTTCCCCCAGTCTTTCCAGCTACGTGTTTCCAATAATACAGCTGTCATTTAGCACAAAGAGCCAAACAATATGCATTCATAAGCACATTGTCGTATTCTATGCAAAACACCCCAGTGTTTGCATACTCTCTCATTGAAGCAGTCACTCTCATTTGCTCTGACTGTTGCTCCCTCTCTAGACTGTCAGCCTGGAGACTTTGGGAAATATAAATGCTGTTTTGGAAATGTTCTGTCGTGGGTACATACGGAATAAATCCTGCAGGTTATCATGTATGTCTACAGTATCAGGAACATATTCTATATCAAATACATTGAGTACTGCTGTTGAAATCTTTGATATGCATACAGTAGGGCTGCTATTAACCGTTTTTCTTTATTGACTAAACTGACAATTATTTACAAGATTAATAGTTTGGTCTATAACATGTAAGATTAGTAAAAAAATCAACCCTAACTTCTTGGAAATGTTTAGTTTTTTCAGTCTTAAACCCAATGATATCCACTTCAATAGGATTTAAAGAGGAATAAAGCATGACATTTTCATAATCAGGAGGCTATAAAAGCTATATTTTGAAGAATAACTGATTGAATAATCCAAAACGTTTTAATAGATTTTTCTGTCAATCAACTTATCGTTTAATTTCTGTAGCTGTAGCACAAAGACACTATACAAGCTGTTGGAAGAGTCTTCAGGGAGAGGTCATGTTATATATGTTTTGCATTTATAATACAAGGTTAACTGATGTGAGAAATAGTGGAAGAATTGCAGATGTATTGCTGTACAATACTCCCCCTACATGCACGAGAGGTAGAGAGAGAGCGAGGTGAGAGCGATGGGCAGGGGAAGAGGGAGCATGAGGACAGGAGAAAGAGGGGGAGAGAGGAGGAGTTTTCCTAGGAGAGGGAAAGAGGAGGGATGTGGGAAAAATAAGTGTTGGCGAAGGGGAGGCGGTGCGGGGGGGGGGGGGCGTCGGAGGGGTGCTAGTGGTAGCCGAAAGAGGAAAACATGAGCGAGAGGTTGGAAAAAGACGAGTGAGTGAAAGAGCAGGAGGTGGGAGAGAGGGAGGGTGAGAGTGTGTGAGTCAGCGCGAGGGTCCCCGCCCGACCACGAGTTCTCTTCCTGGGAGGCCTCTTCATCACGGCTCCTATCTGATCACTTCCTTTTTGGAAGGTGTGTGTGTGTGTGTGTGAGAGAGAGAGGGTAATTAAGCTTCCTCACCCACTTTACCTCTCTACTTAGTGATTCCACACACAAAGCCGTTTCATTATCTCTGTTTGTCAACCCCTACCTGGACTGAGTGTTTTTCTGTGTGGAAATGTGTGTGTGTGCGTGTGTGAGTTCCTGCTGGGACACGGGGGGTGCTCTCTCCTCGGGCATTCTTTTAAAAAGAGGAATTTCTTTAAAGACAAAAAGGCAGGAGGGTTGGGTGGGGTGAGGGGGTGTGTGGCGGTGAGGTGGGGGGCTGCTTGCCCTTTGTCGGTAATCAGTTTGAAATGTTGAACAGTTTGCTGCTGCTGCTGCTGCTATTCTCCTGAAACCTCCAGTGTGTTCAATTTATGGAACCTCCGTGAGTGAGTGTGTGTGTGTGTGTGTGTGTGGTTCTTACTTTCTGCTCTTAACCACCAGGTTGTTGATGTCTACATGGGAACCGTTGTAAGATGTTTGAGGTCTTTGGAGTGTGTGTGCGTGCGTGCGAGAGAGTGTGTGTGTTTTGTGTAGCAAGGTTAAAGTGGGCCCCTAGTGAGATTAACCTCTGGTCCGTGTCACCGTTTGGCATGCAGGCCCCACCCATCTCTGCCTCTAGATAGCCAGTATCAGGCTTTGTCTCTCCTGCAGCCACACTATCCGCCCCCCCCACCCTCCCCACCTCCTCCACCACCAACCCACCCTTCTCTTCTGCACATCAAAAAACGCAAAAGAAGAAGAAAGAGTAGTCATGTGACTTCCTTTTGAGGAGCTGGCCACATACAGAGGAGATGATTGGTAATTGGAAAGGTGGCGGAGTAGAAAGCAGAGCAGGGCTAAGAACAAGTCACACACTTTATTTATATCATTTCATTTAGAAATCTAATCGCACTGAAACACTCAACAATGAAGATTGAAATTAGATCAAACACTCAGTAAATGTGTCTTTGAAATAGGCTTTTTTTTATGCTGGTCTGTTTATTTTCTTAGTAGAATAAAGAAGTTAGCAAGTACTTTAAACATACATGTAATAAGATAAGAGACCTTTATTGATCCCTGTGGGGACATTCAGGATTGATTTATTATAGAGTACTCTGCCGATTACATTTATATCTTTCTTTTTTAATTACCCATTCCACAATTTCTTTTTTAATCTGACCAAAGACATTTTTATGAAAACATGTTCACATGTACTTGTGCCTGAAATATTATTGAAACTATTAATTAATACAGTTGCAGATTATATCAACTAAGTGATAAATATATACAGTCTTAGAAAATAATACATTTGGAAAAAGCCCATCTAATTCAAGGTTAGTTTTGGAGAGATTTTCTTTGTCTTAAACACGGTTTGAAATGTTACAATGGAGTGAAATCTACAACCAAATTATATATAAAAACTTTGTTCAAGCATAAGATTCAGATGATACTTAGAAAGATTTGGATCATGCTTGAATGTATGAGTGTTGAATTCAGTTCCAACATTTCATTTCCAGCTGCTGGTATTTGCCTTTACAAAAAAACTAAGCTGCAACAAAATCAATGTGATAATGATCTTATTTAATGTGGAATGATAACATTGTTCATACAACTTGAACTGAGACAAACACAGTTGCTACTTGTAAAAAAGGTTTGTTTATTCTTTTGCTTATGGTGAAGTTTAGTATCAACATTTTCTTTTAAAATCCACTTAGGTATCTATATACTAAGATTTGCTCATTAATCATGTCATTTGAGAAGGTGTCACTTAAAATTGTTTATATGGGATTTTGGAAAGAACACTACCCTTTGTGTGAAGCAGCTTGGTAAGTGTGCTTCTGTTCTGAACGGCTCCAGTTATTAGCCGGCTGTGCGTTTTATCACCAGCCACCTCGGCGAGGTTCATTTCCCCTCTCTTGCTGATAAATGTAGCAAGATGATCTAGTGCTTCCTCCCTCAGATCAAATATTTGCCCAAGTCATAATCGGGGGTGTTGGATGTTGTTAATTTGAGGTAGAGGAAACATGAAGGCTTTTAAGTGTTTGATGGGGGTTGGGCAGGGTTCAAGGGTCAGGGCCGCTAATGACAACGTGTTGAGGAGGGCTGGGGTCCGCGTCATGAGAGCGGCTCTGTTGGTGGTTTCATCGGCATATTTGTGTGTTGTTTTTTTCCCTCCTCCTCCATCCAGCTTTCTCGCTCCTTTTTCCCTCTTTCTTCTTTGGTTTATATGCGTCCTGTTGGCTTATGTCCATCTGAGCTGATCTGGCCCAGCTTTGTCCACTTAGCATTTCCTGTGTGTAAAAAGCTACTTAATGGCACCACGCCACATGGTGACCGCCATCTCCCTCACGCTCACCTCTACACACCCCCTTTCCCTCTCAATACGAGCACGATCGGCTCTGCGTGGGCCACCTCTGATTTAAAGCATCCCATAATTAGCCATTCCATAGCCGGTGGTCGCCACGGAGAGAGGCTGGTGGAGGATGGTGTCCTCTCCCCGCTTCCACATCCCCTCACGTTACAGCTTCCTGTATTGATTGCCGGGCCCTGTGATGACGAGGACCTGGTTGATGAAAAGGAGGGCTATTTCTATCCAGGATGTTGGAGTCCGTATTGATCGCTGGCTCCTTCTTACACACACAAACACACACACACTCGAGCCATAGGAAGATATTTATTACATATAAGGAAGCTCGTAAGCATAATCAAGCCATTTTTAGAGTACGTCGGTATCCATTTTGTTGGCTCAGTTTCTCTACTTTTCAGGGTGACAGTAGCGGCCGGTGGCTCTGAGTTAAAGCTCTGGAGCTGGTGTGGTCCGCCAGTCGGGCGGGGGGGGGGGGCTATACCACTGACCCCCGGATTTCTGCTGCTGACCTGTGGGGCTCCTGATCAAATGGGGGTTTTGTTCCTGGGCTCCCCCCAGGTCCAGCCACTGATCAGGAGTTGCTCCTCCATTGGAGCTGAACAGAATGCGCTGGAGGCATTTCCATGAGCCCCCCCCCACCTCCCTCCCCTCTCCTCCTCTGGACTCCCTCCCTCATCCACCACCCCCCTGCTCCAGGCCACTCCTCCATTTTGTGTTCTCCCTCTCTCCTCCTCTGACGTTGTTTCGTTCCCTCTCCCCGTCCGTGCCCTTTCCTGACCTCTGTGCGTAAACTGAAACTGGTCAGGACACCCGCCAGGTCACCCGAGATGAGGGGTCTCAAGTTACAGGTTCTGATTTGTGATTTCAAATGTAGTTTTTCACACACACATTGACACACCAGCACACACGCATGTAAATCCACATGCTGCTTTTTATTACGTAAGTGTGGAGAGACCTAGCCGCTGCCAGCCCACGCTCCAGATATGAACCTCATCTGAGACATGAGTGTGATACCATGTCTTGTATGGAGGACGTGTGTGTGTGTGTTTTCCTGCATTTCGGCAGAACAAAAGAGGTTGTGTGGTTTCCTCACTGGTGCATTGACAGGGTTGAAGAGGGGGTAGGGTGCCGAGACAAACCACTCAACTTTGACCTGGCGAGACAAGCTGCCTGTGGACTGAAGACAGGAGAGGAACAGGAAGGGCTCATGCGCCGCACGGTCTATAGACCAGTCTGTGATTATTCATCATTATTCAGTATATGTTTGTTTTGTGGGGGATGGGTGCAATTTTTTTATTCTCTTTCAGCTGATTTCTGCTGCAGGAGTGCCTTCTAGTAATTTGGACGGTCTAATGATTGTAATCATACAATCAATTCGGGTTTTATTTTGATCAAGCATGGGTCTGACTGATTGAGGTTCCTTGATTTGTGGTTTTAGAACGATAGGAAGTCAGTTTTGGTTCATGTTGTTGCAGTTCTTAGTTGATTAATAAATTGTCAATGCTTGGTTATTGTTTTTTTTTAGCACAGCAACTCCTAACCTCCAGTACTTGATTATTGTCCTTTCCTCAAAGCCAAATTCAATATCTGAAAACCAAAAATGGATAAGTCCTTCACAAGCAATCACCTAAACGTTCAGTTGTCCTTGCTGTTACCCTCACTGACGGTAGAGAAAGAATCAAAAAGAACATGAAAAAGGGAAAGGCACCAGCCATATTATCAGTCATTTTCCTTTGTTATAAATTGTGAAAATGGAAAGAAAGAGTCACTTCTAAAAGTTAAGATTAAAGGGAAAAGCACAGTTGTTTTGATTATGTTTCATATTTGTGCAAGTTTCAATTATTAGAATTGTTACCACAATTTGGTCCTTTTTTCCAGTATGAAGTGCCTTCAATGATTATGTACTAAAAAGATACACACATTATATTTAAATAGAATAAAATAAAACGAATGCATCGAATTCATGATTATAGTTTAATTCTATCTGCACAATATACATGTCATGGCCCTTCAAAAAACATGTTTAGTATAAGTCTGTGTAGTAAAGAAGAAGTTGTTTGAACAGATTTTCTTTTTAATCAAAACTGTATTTTTTTAACATTGTTTTAATGTATTAAGTTTGTCTTGTATGTACCTATCTATATCTACATATTTTTATAAAAACAAACTCATCTTAGTTCTTTTAATAGTCAAAATGTCAATTTTCAGGGTGGATTTTCGTGAAAAAATACCTTTTTTAAAGATAACCTAAAACGGATTTATTAAACATTAAATTCAATAATTATAATATATATATTTTTAAAACATATTTTTCCAAACATGTGATATTCTTGGCCTATTTCGCATTATTTAACTTGACTGACTTAGTATTAAAATGTTTCCATGCGATGGTTGTCACATTTATTCTGCAAACCTGTATTTGGAATTTAAAAATCTGTATTAACGGCTGCAAAATAATTATTTAAATATGAGTTTACTATGATTTATTTATTATAAACAGTTTGAAACATAGAAAGCTTCTGAATGAAACACAGTTTAAACTATAACTCGTTATCCTTCGTTTCTAAAAGCATATAGTGAAACTCTAACATAAACCCTAATTCATCCCGATGTTACTCTTGAATCTTTATGCCATTGGTAGTCAGATATCCTTCAGAGTACAATGAGCTCAGACACTATTCTTAGCTTGATGAATTAATGACCACTTACTCTCTTCTCCCTGCTTTTCACCTTCCCATCTTGTCTCTCTCTTTTATTCACATTACTTTCCACTAATGGATCACCTAAATAACTCCTTTGTTGTTGCATTTGTCGACACAATTTGAATGCAAAGAAAATGCTGCTGAGCACATTTTCTCTCCTTCCTGTATGGTTTACATTTAACTCTGATCATTTGTTCCTTTTTCTGCATCTTTCTCCTACCCATCCGGGAATTTACAGAAAGCCTGTGTGTTATTTATAGGCCTCGATGTATAGTAGGTTAGCTCTGCTCACTGCACACTGCGTGCTCGTGTGGGTGTGTGTACCTACCGAGATCTGCAGGGCGGCTGCCATTCATGAAGGTCACGCATACAGTGCCTATCAGCCGTCCGTTATGTGCCATCAGCTGCACATAAATCATTGTGCAGTGGTTATGTAGTAACTAGATCAATAATGCCGATCATGTAGATAAGAGGGATGGTGGATGTGTGCTGAGAGAAAATGATTGCGATGTACTCGTCCTTTCTCCCTGCACAAAGGAATAGGAAGTGGTGCCTCTGTGAAAAGTAGATAAAGGGAGTAAAGCAAGGACGCTGTGTGTGAGATCTCTGTACACACACTTTTTTCTGGCAGTTGGTGTAAACCACAGACAGTCAATCCACCATGTTGGAACCATGTCTTTCTGTGTACACGCTGTGCTACTGCAAAGCCTCCACAGTAAAGTGTTGATTCTTCTGCCACAATTATTTAGAGATTACAAATGTTGATCGGGGACCTGGAAAAGCTCTCAGGCAGCTGTTCATTATGTAAGTGTTAAATTAGCTCTGTGTGTGTGTACTCGCATAATATTAATGCTGAGCTTAATGCTGACAGGCGGACTGAAGTTAAGAACCAAGGCATTCAAATGTGTCGTTTCATTGAAAAATTACCTTTTCTGTTCAATAATGAGGCTCAGTCTTGACATTTGTAAAGCATACAGGCTTTGTCAGGTTACTGTATCATTTGAGGTATAACAAAAAATACACAGCAGAAGCAGTCAGGGTGAAGTACATCTTGATAACAATTTGTGTATGGAGTCTTTCATAACAACATTTTGGAGAGATTTGTCTCTTGAAAAGCTTCAAATGTGTTTCAGCATTATTCACGGACATTATTCTTACTCATGTGTTCCACTGATTTGTATTACAAAATCATATATATCTTGTAAAAATGATATATCCAATCATAATTATTGTTATATGAAATGATATATTATCAATTATCTCCACAGGTGTAACTTCATGCTTTTATACTGAAATTAGAGCAAATTGAAGTAACATGAGCACATATTATACTTGTATCCTACATCAAACTGGACACCACCTGATATCATTTAGACCCTTGTGTATTGCAGGATTTTATCATTTTTTCAAAGAATACATTGAGCTATAAGCACCTACATCTTTTAAACTGATAATTGCTTTTCTCTCCCGACAGAGCAAACTGCTGATGGAGGGTTTCCGCAGCTTAAAGGAGGGAGAGCAGGTGGAGTTCACCTATAAGAAATGCTCCAAGGGCCTGGAGTCCCTGCGGGTGAACGGGCCTGGGGGGGGACCCTGCGCAGGCAGCGAGAGGAGACCCAAAGCCAAGGTCCCACTCCAGAAACGCAAACCAAAGGGAGACCGGTGAGTGATTTAATTAGTATTATTTCCAACATTTCCAACAACATCAAATTGTACATTAAACTGAACACACCTATAAAACAATGAAAGGCATATTTTAAGTGTGCAGTCTTTCGAGATGTTTTTTCTTTTCATTGATATCTTGACAATAAGAAAATGATATAGTGTGCAGCCCTATCCTATGTTTTGTGAGTCAGCAGTAATGTAATGTTTCATTTAAAGCAAACTGAATATATGTGACCGTTGGCAGCCTGCATTTAGAAATCACGGCTGCCTATAGCAGAAGGAGACATATGCTGTACATCTCACTGCAGTGAGCTATTTGTGAGTGGGCTGAGATTATAGATTAAATCTATTGAATCTGCCCGAGTACATGTCTGTTGCTATGGTTATTTTGCACCATAATAAGGAATTGAATAGGGCACTTTGCCTGCCTTTGCCGCTATTTTAAATCAATTTTCCAGCTTTTACTTTAGAGGCGGCATTAGCAGGGATGGATTGGGCTTATATGCATCTCAATGCGGCACTAGCTCAATCAATTGTTTTGTTCTCAGTAAAATCCTGAAGGGCGCTTTGCTAAAATCTGTCAGAGCGAGCCATATAGAGCTCCTTGAAAACGCCTGGTGGTTTTAACACAAGAGGCTGATTTCCCCGTCCTCCTGTTGACAGGGAGTCATGTTTAACAAGCGCTGCCAGGAAGAGCTGTATATGCTGGATACGTTTGCGGGAACACATCACATGACCACTCTAAGGCTGCATTTGCATTTAAAAGTCCATCTCTGCCACTCTTTGTGCTGCATCACAGCTGCTGCAGCCCTGAGTCGCCCTGTTTCTAAGGTGTGAAAAGAAAAAGCTTTTGTTAGAAAAAGCTCCCTTATTGTTTTACATAGCTGAATAATTCAGTTTATTTGGGATAATTGATCCAGTGTTAGGTCAAGTGTCTCTACCTGCTGCTAAGGTGGCAGCGAGGTGGTGTTGGATTCAGAGATGGCAGGTAGACGTCTGTGATGTCATCGGGTCTTTGTGAGCGCTCAGAGCGAGCGGTTAGCTGCTCTGAGCCCTGCTGGTCACTCTGCTGTGCAACCCAACATTCTGTAGCCCACCCTTTACACTGAGGTTCTTTAACTCTCTTAAAGATGTTTCGATGTGAGATTTGTGTTGAAATGTCATGTTTTTGTGGAAATAGTAAACACATTTATTTTTTTTTAAAACACAGTCTACTAAATAAAGATCTACATTTAAATCAAACACATAACTGTTAAATGAAATGCTTTATTTCTCCATTTTGTTATTATCTTGGTTATGGTGGGGTGGTATCAGAGGTGGTTTCCTAATAATAATAATAATAATAATAATAAAATTATTAATTAATGTTTAGATTAATTATTCACAATAAATACAAGGTTTTAAAGACAATAATACTTTCAAAATAGTTTCTTTACAGAATACCGTATTGATTCTTAATTAATGAAAAAACTGACAACTTCTTTATTTCAGTTTTGTTCAAATATGCAATAGATTTTTGGGCAAATAATTTTCTATAAATGTAAAGCATTTCTATTTGAAAGCCTTTGACTTAATTCAGCTGAGCTAAAGCTGTTTTTTACAAATGATTTTGCATACAGTAAACCTCAAAATAGAATGTTAAATATAAATATACTACTTCATCATTGTTACAAATATCTTAATCTGATGTTTGGTTATTCATTTAAACCATGCTATTGAAAGTATTTTGTATTTGTACTCTTATGAATCACGTTGTAAGCACTTGTGTGACTTATTCATGGTTTATCAATGTAATGCTTTTATTAAGAGGCATTGCAAACATATTCATCAGAAATATCCATCCATCTGTCCATGTGGGTAATTGTTAAATTCTCTCTGGACATAATCCAGCCTCCTTCCAAAGCAATCAGGACTGAAACCGCCTTCTTTGGAAAATCCTGGCAGCATTTGTTTTCTTGTGAAGTGGCAGCATTTGACTCAAAAGCTCATTTTGTTAATTGGCTGTGATGCAATACTTAAAACGTAGATAGTGAACCATTGTTTCATGATCATGTACTGCTTTCATCTTCTACCGAAAGACAGCATGACTCTGTTTCAAATCACCACACAGGAGAGTGTTACACTGTGTGCTATTATAGAATTCAAAACACTGAATGAATCACCTGGTTAAGACTTTATGGACAGAGAAGTGTTGAGCATCAGGTTAACAAGGAACAGACATTAAACCGTGAAATGAGAAATCAAGCCTTGAAGAAGAAGAATAATAATAATAATACATGTGATTTATATAGCGCTTTTCCTGGTGCTCAAAGCGCTTAAATATACAAAGAATACTTAATACTTAAGAATACAAGCATCTAATGTATTAAAGAGCCAATAGTGTCCATTTGATTTGATGCGGTTCATTTGGTGGCATCCTTTTTGGCTTTAATCTTTTGGCCTTCGCTTTGTTGTTGTAATCCTTCTAGCACCCAATTGCTTCCTGTCAAATGTAATAAAGCAGTATCGATGTGAACGCCACCGAGTGCTCCTCACATTTGATCCGGAGCCATATTATGTGTTATGCTGCCATCTAGTGTAAAATCCTAGTCGGTGTTTCAACTCCGCAGCGCTGGTGTTTTATGAGGATATACTTTATCTTTTTTTTAATAGAATAATGTTTTGATTTTGTTAGAACATTTTCCGTACAAATACTGAATAAATAAGTAATAAAAGTGTAGTTATAAACATATACATACTCACACATTCCTGAGCAGCTGTGGTACAGAAGTGTCCTAAGGCAAGATACTGAACATACATATTTTCAATGTGTGTGTATCTCTCCTAAGGGGGCCCCTTATATGGACACCTGTGTATAAATACAGTCCATTTACTATTTCATAACGTGGTGAAGTACTTTGTACTCTTTATTGCGGTGGATAAAATGTTATTAGAATTATAAGCATTTACTGTCATTATACAAGTACAACAAGAAGAGTAAAGCTACTCATTTAAGGTGCCATCAAAACATTCAGAATAGACAACATACAACAAATAAAGTGAATATCTTTGTGTGTATAATAAATGATACGTATTGCACATGTATGGGTTATTGTTAATCCCGTTTTCTCCGTCTTTCTGCAGCTGTTATAACTGTGGAGGTCTGGATCACCATGCCAAGGAGTGTGGCCTGCCCCCCCAGCCAAAGAAATGCCACTACTGCCAGAGCATCACGCACATGGTGGCCCAGTGCCCCCACAAGGCGCTGGCCCCCGCCTCAGGCTCTCAGGACCAAAATGTGTCTACCTCTACGGGGCCCTTCCTCGGCCCGCCGGAGGAGGAGGAGCGCTCGGGCTCATCTCCCCTCGAGGGGTCCTCCTCCTCCCCCGAGGAGCCCCAGCCTTCCCGCGGCCCCCGGACCCAGAGGTGGAGGAAGTCCTGAAGACAGCCCAGAGAGGTGTGCCGCTGACCCCTGACCCTCACGTCTCCCCTCAATCAAGGATACCTGAAGCCCCCCCCCCCCCTCATCTACCTCACACCTGTGAAGAAAAAAAAATGGGAGGTCTTGATTTCTTTACTTTTAATGTTATTTTTATTTTTTTCTAACCAGCGCAGCTATGGCAACGATCCACGGGGTACGGACATGCGTGAATGTGTGTGACTGACTTGCAGTCATCTGGTGCAGCTATGGCAACCACCGCTGGAATGGTGACTGCAGGGATCGACTGTTTTTCTTGTTTCAATCAGTGCAGCTCAAGAGTGAAACAACGTGGTATGAATCTTGTGTTTTTTCTTTCTTCTCCTCGGACCTAAGTGTTGGCTTTTCCCCTCACACATGTCGTTGATTGAAAGCCTCCAATTTCTATCCTGTAGGCCTAATCATTCTGAAAATCATGCTGCACACACGGTAGCTCATTTCTAAGACTTTTAGAAGCTCGAGACCCTCTAAGTGATAATCCAGACCCCCAGGATTGTTAGCTTAGTTTGTGAAGATCTGTAGGCACCCTTTTCAGAGGGCGCTTTTAAAAGAAGATGAGCTGCGAAACACATTGTTATAAATCTTTAAACACTCACTTCCAACCTCTCCCTTTTCATGAAATAGACCGGACCGACTGATTGTCACAGAGTGTGTTTGTGCATGCACGTGCACGACTGAGAGAGGGAAAAAGAGTGTGTGTTGGCATGCGTGTGTTGTGCTCCGAAACAAAGCCTCTCTGTCAGACTGGCCCCTCCCCCCCCAGGTGCGAGTCCTCGCTATTAACGATTCAGTTTCCTATTATTAGAGATAGAGCAGTTTAGCTAAAACCTCATATAATCCATAGTTTAGATTCAACGTAATGATCATTAGACTTCCACTTTGGTTGTTGTATAATTAGTTAAAAAATAACCTTACAATTTATAAATCATAGTATAAGTAATTAATATATATGTAAAGTCACAAGATATAAATTCTATTAAGTAAAGCATATATAAGGAATTAGCTCTGACATAGGTAAATAGCCCTGTATATTGTATGGGATACTTTTGTTGGTGTGTGAAAACTTGTAGCTCTCTCTCTCTATTTAACCGTTTTCATCCGTGACGAATCAAACTGACGTTTTTACAATGTATTTACTCCACGCCTTCTCCTTTTACTTCAGTGCAAGGAGTCAGCGCTCACCTCTGACCCCGCACACCTTGTTCGATGAAAGGTGCAGACCATTACAGTGTCCTCACAGCTGCTCTACTTACTTAATACCTCACCTATTCTTCCCTAGCTGTTTGCTCTCCCAGCTGTGTTGCAGTACGGTCAAACCACCTGTTCCTCTTCCATCTGTGCCTACCAGTTGTTAGCTAGCACCAGCCAGGCATCGCTCGCCCCTCCACAGGATGGAGACTCACTGAAGAGAGATAGAGAGGGAGGGAGAGAGAGAGAGAGAGAGAGAGAAGGAGTGCTGCTTTTGGTATAACTTGAATCCCAAGCGTGGCTTTAGTGGCACTTATTTGTGACCTTACAACCCTTCTCTGACCATATTGAATGTGAAAAGAGCTTACCTGAAGTCGACGCCTCACAAAGTTCACATCAGGTCGCTTTGGAGTTGTATCTTAATGTTCTGACAAATCAAATAACTTTGTATAATGATATCAAAGTAGCTTGTGTGTTTTTAAAAAGCTCTAAGTAGACAACCAACTTAATTTTGGTATATTTCTATACCAAAGAGTTTGGCTTTATTTTTTGAAGGCATTTAAAGATAAGATTTGCTTGCTGTCTTTGCCCTTTCACAATAAGAGGGAGTTATTGCTGAAAGCGCAACACTGCAGTTATCGTTTTTTTTTGTTTTTTTTTATATATAAAATGTGCAGCTTTCTGAATGTGTGCGTGCGTTAAAAAAAAAAATCAAGTCTCAACAATGCAGCATGACAGAAAATAAAAGTGAATGACCAAACAACATAAGGAGCACAGCCCATGCTCAGATCTTTATGGAAACAACATCTTTTTGTATGATGTATTTGTACATTTTTACACACAATTCCTCTCAGGATGATGAACTGTTCTCAGGGAATTAACCAAAAAAGTGTATTTTATTCTTTTGGGAATCATCCACTGACTGACTCAACAAACTCTCTTAAGCAATGGTGAAGAGACGTATGTAACCGATTCATGTACTGATATTAGCAACTACCTCTTGAGTTCTACATAGTTGTGCATTTCTTTTCTTTTGTTTTGATGAGCTTGTATGATTAACTGTAGGTCTCTAATGTACTGAGGTGTTGTGTGAGAAGTTCCCCAGTGTTGCCACAGACTCCCTGGTCTTCCTTCCCAGATTTGATAAGTTACTTTTTTTCATTTACTGCAAAACCTTTTTTTTTGTTTACAGCAAAAGCCTACCTCATATGCGCTGTTCCTCCACAAACTCCGTACCTCCTCCCAGACCACCTTTACCTCCACCATGCAGTTCTTTGTTCATTCAATTGCCACTTGTCGCACTAGAGTCACACCACATTTTAAACAAATCAGCCCTGAAGTGGCTCGTCACTTGTGACTCCAAATATCTTACACTCAAAGCCCTTTTTTGAAAGTTTATCAGAAGTTTTGAGAATGTTTGTCTCACATCCAGGGTGACGTTTTTCTGCCAGCTCTGTTATACCGTCAGTATAAACTCATCACTTAGCGGCAGACAGCCAGTGAGCTTACCTCAGTCTGTTGCCCTAGCTATTGACGTGTTAAATATGAAATATTTAACATTCCCGTGTGAACACACTTTGAAAAGATATGGACTGTTATTTTTAGCGTGTTGGTATTTTATCATAACCGTTTTGTAACCACTTCATGTGATGGGCTTAAGGTGGAGAAGAATAGGATTGTACTTCGCACAAGGAGTGCCTATCTCCGTTTTGTTTGTCTCACTCTATTACCAAATAGATGTTTCCTCTTTTTGGGCTCCATGGCCTTGGTCCGCCATTTTTACAGCCTCGGATAATCAGAAGTTGTGTGCTTTGGAGACGACGCCCCGCAAACTGCATTTGTAGTTTAGAGCGACATTTTTAACAGCGGAAAATCAGTAGATTTTGTACTAATGGTGACATTGCATAGACGTCATTAAAAAAAAAAAAACGTTTATGAAGATGAATATTGTTAAAAGTACTTTTTTAAACTTGAAACTTAAAATTGATTTTGCATATGATGGCAGTATTACAGTTCACCCTCAGCTGAGAGAATCACTTTGTTGCAGTGGGCCAGTTACGAACATAATACACAACCGTGGTACAAATATAGTGATATTATTGTTGTTAGTAGCTTTATATTTACTTCCAATCAATGTAACTACTGATTGATCTCTTTATTGTCCTGTTTAATATTTGACACAGCAAAGAAACGTTCTTGTACAATACAGAATAATCTTCTTAACGTAGTGATAATAAAATGGTAATCATAGAGGTTTCTCAAGGCGGCATGTCGGATAACACATTTGTAGAATCACATACTTAATATTTTCCACGTGTCTTCAGTTTTGAATTGAACAGTATCATCCATGCAACCATCAAAAATGTTGCACAGGGTTTTACTAAATACCAAACATTGGTGAACATCTGTCTCAGCAAAAGGATCAAACAAGAACAAATCCTAAATGTGTTATCATTTTTTTAAGACCCCAATCCAAAAAACATCACTGTGGCTTCTTCATTTTGAAATGTACACCAATCTGAGAGTGTAGAAATGAAATGGCAGATGTGGCGGTATGCAGTGTTCAAAGGCATTGTAGAGATTATATCACTTTTATGACACCATATTAACTAAGATTGTGATATTTATTGAGAAACTGGGATGGATCAGATTCATTTTTTAAAGATTTTTTTGTTTCTATTAAATGGATTTGTGTTAAGTTAAACGGATAATTCAGGCTTTGTGGTCACATGTTTTCTTTGCCTCACAATCATCGTCTTTCTGAAGTCAAACCAATGTTAAACTAGGATGACTTTGTAAGCATAAACAGCCTTCAGCTTCCACTAAATATGGTGCAGCAGCTCGGGTACTACACCATCGTTACACTCGCCAATATTTGTAATTTCTGTCTGAAAGCATCAAGCCTACAGCATCAGTCCTCTCCACTCTGCATTTCACAGAAATGTTTGAGCCGTGACCCTTCTCGCTCCTGACCTCCTCTGTTGAGCAATGAAGTTTAGATCACAAATGCCAAGGGCTTATGGTAAATGTTTTTGTTAAAGGCCGCTAAAAACATAGATGTTGAATAAGCAAAGACATTAGATCGCTACTACTGCCGTCCTTATCTAAACGTATAAAGCAAGCCACAGGACATACTATCGAGAGGCTCTGATCGTAGGCTGTGGTTTTAGTAAATAGCAAATGTCATCTAGACCAGTGATTCTCAAACTTTTTTCACTCATGTATCACTCACTTGATCAGCGCAAAAACAATTTGTTAGGGAAGAAATGCCTATATAAAGTGGTACAGTACAGCGCTGCACCATCGGTGTCTGATTTATTAAAACAACAACATTGTAACTGAGAAACACTTAAATGTTACATTTCAAATGTTTACAATCCATCACTAAATTCATGGCAAACCAATTTTAACATCATGCAATAACACTAAGACGACATTAGTTGCATTGAACTGATCTTTTTAATAAGTTGTACTTAGAATGTAGAGAAACATGGGCTTGTGCTTCACTGAGGATCTTTGTTATTCTCAGTAACAGGGAGGCAACTGCAGTTATTACACTTCACGTTTTGAAATATGTGTAACTCTGTTAATATAAAACCCACACTGCTCAAACTTTGTTACTTTTCCTAAAATTGGTCTTTTTTTTCATTTACATAAAATAAATCTCACGTACCCCCTGCAGTACTCCAACGTACCCCTAGGGGTCCGCGTACCCCCATTTGAGAACCACTGATCTAGACTGTCATTTCGGCTCTATAAGAAAAAAACGTAAAACTAGTGGCATGCGCTAGTGCTGTGGAAACATTTTTAAAGTACATTTAAATCGGGCTGATTTTGTTATTTGGACAAAATATTGTCTCAACATTTTTGGAAAAACGGCTATATTTGACTTTTCTTTTCAACATTTTAGGAAAAGCCTTTACTTTCTTTCGATCAGGGAGATTGATGTCAACATCAACATAATAATTTATTAGGTGTTTATTGGCTTTTTGTAAACCTTAGCTTGTACAATATCCTTGAAGACGATTGTGATGGCAATGTCTACATTCTTTTACGATCAATGGCCAAACGATACCATGCAAATGAAATGTAAGCATATCAAAACCACATTAGGCCTGTAAGACAACAAACCTGAATTATCCATAACAATGTATCACCAGACTCTGGATGTACTATGCCATGATGCCAGGCAGGGAAACCTCAGCTCCCTCATGTGGTTGTGTTGTAGGTTTGTTGCCTCTGTCAGCTGCTCTGTGCTTTGCCTTGACTGCAGGAACAATGTATTCTAGGGGATGATCATGTATGATGTTTATTTTTTTAACTGAACTGTATTATGTCGGATTCATATTGTGTTAATGTAAATCATACTGGAACATCGGACCTAAAGGACCTATAAATCCAACCAAGGCAGTTTGAAGTGCAGATACCTCCTTGTATTGACTAATAACCTCACATTTCTAGTGTTTGTTTATGTTTTTAATCTCTGCATCATGGCCAGAGAGCGTCTTCTGTGCTCTCCTTCTTTGGAGTACGCCTTCGAGCCAAGCACTGATTGCTTCTGAATGGGGAAAAATGTTCTTCTATGTGCATATCACTCATTATTTTAACCTCAATGTAAGTGTACTGCCTTTTTTTTTATTTCTGTGAACCTTGGATTGGATTTTAAAATATGTCTTAAATGTTTGACTTGATTGGAAAATAAACCTATTATATTGGCATTAAAGTATGTATAATTTCCTACTAGAAATCGAAGTTGTTTATTTACGGTTTGATTTATTTTCTATTTACATGGCATTGTAATATGGAAAAATGCCATACAAACTCATAGTAAAGCATATCATAATAAAGGTCAAATAATGTATGTAAAAGAAAAGGTGTAGTATGTGAAAAACATCAGAAAAAGGTTATAGCAATAATCTTGAAGTTAGAATAGTATGTCCAAAATCTGGGTATGTAGAATTCTTTTTTTTTAACATAATATAGTATGTCATAAAAAAAGTCATAGTATAGTATGTTGGAAAATCTGAAGAAACATCAAGTATAGTATCTTTAAAAAAAAGTCATAGTATAGTATGTTGGAAAATCTGAAGAAACATCAAGTATAGTATCTTTAAAAAAAAGTCATAGTAATATCTGAGAAAAAATCATAGTATTTTAAAAAAAAAAAAAAAAAAAAAAGTCATAGTATGTCATAACATCTGAAAAAAAGTAATCGTATGTCATAAAAAAAGTCATAGTATAGTCATAATGTAGTATTTCCAAACAAATATGTCATAGTATTGTATGCCATAAAAAGCGTCATATAGTATGTCATTAAAAACATAAAAACATCTGTTATGACAATAAAGAAGTCATAGTGTACTGCGTCATAAAACACGTACAACAAAAAGTCATAGTATTCTATATTATGTCATTACAAGAAAGAAAAAAAAGATCAATAATGTCTCAGTATAGTATGATATAAAGAATGTATAGCATTCCATACATAGTCCCATACAAAGTAGAAGTGTTCCCGTAATATAATAAATGCCAGTATGTAAAAAAGAAAAAGGAATAGCAAAGTATTCCATAAAAAAACCCATTACAAATAATTGAAGAGTGAAACACACTGTCATTTTCAATCACAGCACCCACCTGTCACTGCTGAACTCAAGTTAAGTGATGACCGTTCATGGTGAGGAAAAACGGATTCATTTATTCTGTCACTTCCTCTTCTCCTCCACTAGGGGGCAACCTGGTGTCGCTGTATTCTCTCCCCCTCAGGCCCATGAAGGACACAGTCAACAAATTAATCACCTCAACACATCTGACTCACCAAAGAACGGGTGTTTCTTCATAAGCCTCTCTCTACTCTCCTGCTCGTCTTTAATGGCCTGGCGTCTTTCTTTTGTTTACAACCAGCTGTCTCCCTCACAGTCTCTCTGCTAAGCACATCCAGGCTTGAGGGAGTCCATTAAAACAACAATCTTTGTTTACAGTTTCTTTTTGTTACACACCATCATTTTGCTATATGGCTCGCTTTTTTTCCCCCTATACTATCTCTGGAGATAACTTCCTCAAGGTCAGCTATTTTTTATGGCATGAGATATTGGAGGTAACCCGGGAAGGCGGCGATAATAATGAGACAGGGGATAAAGGATCGAGAGGAAAAGGATAAATATGGCTGGGCTATGGCTGTAAACGATGCAAAGTGTGTTTCAGGTCGTCAGCCGCATTCAGGTCCGAAGAGAAGGCGAGGTGTACACTTCTTCTTCTTCTCTATCGTCCTATTCCTCATTCCTAAATGTTGACCTTTGTAGTACCGCCTCCAGGCTGTATGCTCTAACCTTTCCAGTGAGATAGAGAGGGCCCCTGCACTGGGAATACAAGATAAATCACAACTGCTGTCTGTTAGTGCGACAGACAAAAAAACACACTGGCATGCAGGCACCATTAAAACCTTTGTCCTTTGTCGCAAAACCCTCCCGGTCCCCCCGAAAAACACACACAAACACAGATGGCAAAGCCTCCATAAATATGTTTACAGCATCAGCTTCACTGGGCTATTAAATCCAAAAGTGCACCCTGAATTATTCATCCTTCATTAAAATGCTCTATGAGTAATGATAGCCAGGAGAGTGTTTTGGTGTATGCTTTTCCCCCCCCACAGTACACCGGGGTCATTAGGAGTCATTTGTGGTCAATTTTGTATGATCAACCATGCTTCAGAGGGGACAAAAATCCCATTTACTTTCTGTGCGTTGGGGATTCATGTTGAAAGAGATCAAAGGGGACAGACAAAGAGATGAGAGAATCGACATCTTCTCGTCTCCATTTGGCTCACTATGAGAGGAAGAAAATTACTTTAAAGCTGCAGCCTTGATGAAAGAAAAGGGCGTTATGCCTGATGTATTCCTCCAGAGGTGGAATCAACAGTATGAATGACTCAAAGGCAGAGAG